AGACCCTTCATCAGAAATTTCTGATGAAGGGTCTAGGCCCGAAACATCAGCCTTCCTGCTCCTCTGATGCTGTTTGGCCTGCTGTGTTCATCCAGCTCTACACCTTGTTATCTCAGATTTTCCAGCATCTGCAGTTCCTACTATCTCTAGATGGTTGATGAATTGGGTTTAATGTTCCAAAACTCATTTGACTTGCGGAAGATTCCATTAGCTTGGAAAATACTTAATACAACTCCTTTATTCAAAAAGGGTAGGAGGCAGGAGGCATAAAACTACAGGCCAGTTAGCTTAATATCTATCTTAGTGAAAATGGTAGAAGCTATTATTAAAGATGTTATAACAGGTCACTTTGATAAGTTCAAGGTGATCGGGCAAAGCCAATATGGCTTTGTCAAAGGGGAATCATGTTTAACTAATTTATATAAATTCTTTGAAGAGGTAACTTCTGCTGTAGATAAAAGGGAACCAATGAATGTATTCTTCGTCAACTTCCAGAAAGCATTTGATAAGGTGTCGCATCAAAAGTTATTACAGAAAATAAAAGCTCACAGTGAAGGAGACAGTTTTATTTTTTCCTTCATTCATTCGTGGGATGAGGGCACTGCTGGCTAGGCAGCATTTATTGCCCATCGGGCAGTTAAGAGTCAACCACATTGCTGTGGGTCTGGAGTCACATGTAGGCCAGACCAGCTAAGGATGGCAGTTTCCTTCCCTGAACGACATTAGTGAACCAGATGGGTTTTTCCAACAACCGGCAATAGATCCGCAGTCATCATTAGACTCTTAATTCCAGATATTTATTGAATTTACAGTCCACCATCTGCCATGGCAGGATTTGAAACCAGGTCCTCAGAACATTGTCTGAATCTCTGGATTAACAGTCCAGTGATAATACCACTAGGCCATCGCCTCCCCCGCATATTGACATGGATAGAAAATTAGCTTACTAACAGAAAGCAGAGTACAAATAAATGGCCCTTTTCAGGTTGACAGGATGTCACGAGCTGCATGCCACAGGGATCTGTGTTGGGGCCTCAACTCTCTACAATTTATATAAATAATTTTCATGAAGGGACCAAAGATATGGTACATGACACAAAGACAGGTGAGAAAGTGAATTTTGAAGAGCACACAGGAACCGAAAAGGGGATTATACATAGGTTAAGTGAGTGGGCAAATATCTGCCAAATGAAGTACAACGTGGGAAGGTGGGAAATTGTCCATTTTGGCAGAAAGAATAAAAAAGCATTATCAAAAAGGTGAGAGGTTGCAGAATTCTGAGATACAGAGAGATCTGAGTGTCCTAGTGCATGCATCTCAGAAGGTTAGTCTGCAGGTACAGCAAGTAATCAAGAAAGTTAATAGAATATTATGGTTTATTGTGAGGGGAGTTAAAAGCAAAAGGAGGGAGCTTATGTTTCAGTTATGCAAGGCATTGGTGAGACCATATCTGCAGTACTGTGTAGAGTATTGGTCCCACACTTCCAGTAGGATATTAATGCAAAGAAGGGTTACCAGACTTATACCTGGAATGAGCAGATTGCCTTATGAGGATAGGCTAGTCCTATATCCTCTGGAGTTTGGAAGAGTCACAGGTGGCTTAATTAAAACAATTATGACCCTGAGGGGACTTGACCGGATGGATGTTGAAAGTATGTTTCTTCTTGTTGGAGAATCTAGAACTAGAGGTCATAGTAGGGGAATTGAGTTCAAGAGCCGTGATGTTATGCTGCAGCTCTATAAAACTCTGGTTAGGCCACACTTGGAATATTGTGTTCAGTTCTGGTCACCTTGTTATAGGAAAGATGTGGAAGCTTTAGAGAGGGTGCACAGGAGATTTACCAGGATGCTGCCTGGACGGGAGGGCAGGTCTTATGAGGAAAGGTTGAGGGAGCTAGGGCATTTTTCATTTCATTTTCTGAGGAAGGGTCACCGGACCCGAAACGTTAACTCTGTTTTCTCCTCCACAGATGCTGCCAGACCTGCTGAGCTTTTCCAGCAACTTTGTTTTATTTTACAATTTTAAGGTGATTGGAGGAAGGTATAGGGGAATGTCAGAGGTAGGTTCTTCACACAGAGTGGTGGGAGTGTGGAATGCACAGCTGGCGGTGGTAGTGGAGTCTGATACTTTACAGACTTTTAAGCGATTCTTGGATAGGCACATGGAGGATAGTAAAATGTAGGGTATGCAGGGTAGATTGGTCTTAGTAGGATAATAGGTCGGCACAACATTGTGGGCCAACGGGCCTGTACTGTGTTGTACTGTTCTATGTTGTTCTATGTATAAATATTTAAAACAGATGAGGAAACAAATTTTCACTCAGAGGGCTGAGATTCTTTGGGATTCCCTTTCTCAAAAGGTAGTGGATGCAGAATCTTTATATATTTTAAGGCACAGGTAGAAAGTTTCTTGAGTACCAAGGGGATGGAAGATTATTGGAAATAAGCAGGAATGTAGAGTTAAAATTAAAATCAGATCAGCCATGATCTTATTGGATGGCAGAGTGGGTTTGGAGGGCTATGGCCTACTCTTGTTTCTTGTTCGTTATGGCCTTCTGAGGTTAGAAGTTCAGGTTTGGAAGATGTAATCAAAAGAGCCTTGGCAAATTGCTCCAGTACATCTTGCAGATGGTACACACTGTTGCAACTGTGTACCCAGTGATGGAGGGAGTGAATGCAGAAAATGGTGGATAGGGTGCTGATCAAGTGGGCTGTTTTGTCCTAGATGGTGCCAAGCTTTTTCAGTTGGAGCTGTACTTATCCAGGCAAGTGTAGGACTATTTCATTTCAATTCCAACTAGACACTGAACATGGTCTGCACAGTCAAGACATTGGTTACTCACCACACAATTCCCAGCCTTATTCTTGCAGCTACAGTAATGATCTGGCTAGTCCAGTTAAATTTCTGGGCAATGATAATGCCTAGCATGTTGATGGTAGGAGCTAGCCTTCCTGCTTCTGGAGTCATATGTCGGCCAGAATGGGGAAGGATGTCAGATTTTCTTGAAGGACAATATACCAGAAGTGTTTTTACTACAATCGGGTAATCTTGTGATCATTAGCTTTTTAATTCCAGATTTAGTGCCCATGGTTTTAGGGGAGTGCAAATTGGTGGGACATTGTCAATTACAGTTTTCTCATTCCCTAAACCTCAGGTGAATTTAAGTGAATTGTCAAGTTGGATATTGCACTCATACTTACACAGCATTGATTACAATGTGTAGACTACTATCCAGAAACACTACCACCATGTTAATATTCTCCTCACTCTTGAGAAAAAAGCCAATGCAAACCTTTGCAGCATGTGACACCTGATTTTTGGGTTGTCTGTGGCATCCATCACACTGATGGAACTCAGGTGCACGTAAGTGCACATCCCCCTCTGAGAAAGAGCTGTCAGACATACTCTGGTAACAATACTCAATAGGACACAAAGTGGAGACAATGATTGGCACTGTACCAATGTTTGATGGGTTTAGCATGTTTTGATCTGCACTGTTTCAGCTATGGCATTGATAATTGAAATGGGATGGTTTAATGCCAGCCTTTAAATAACAGAGAAAAGAGTTTGAGATAAACCCAGTAGAAGAACACGTACAGAACAATGCACTTGTCATTCTTACTCGAGAGAATTTGACTAAATGCGAAGTACGCCATGAATGTGGGAGCCATGTCCAGAGAAGCTGAAAAAAACAGGTTATACTTTATAACCACATTCACCTACAAACTTCAGGTGAAGATTCTGTATTGCATCTTTTAAATGAAACTAATGGCTTTGATATTTACCGATGTCATGTTCAACCTTCCGAAATTGTTCGGATGTCTGTTTGCCTAACCCATTAGCAGCAGTTATCTGCAATTGTAAATCTTGAAATGCAACAAAGTCACGCTCAATAAAGGTTTTAGTTCCCACTTCAGTGCAGCTATCTGGTAACCTACAAAGGAAACAAAAGGAATAAACTGTTGAATTGTTGTTTCTTAAAAGGAAGTTTACTGAGGAATTGTCTTTCTTTCCACATCTGAACAATAAGACAACTTGGACGTACAAAAGGGGCCAATATCTCAATAACATTTCAAGATCCAATTATCCAACACAATCCGCAATTTATGGTTTGGATTAGTCTCATTTGATCACGCCCATCAAGCCAGCAGATCAATCCTGTTTCAATGAAGAATGCAGAAGGGCATGCCAGGGGCAGCATCAGGCATTCTTAAAATTGTGGTGTCAACCTGGTGAATCGGAAAACGAAGGTTAATTGTATCTCAAGCAACATAACCAACAAGTAATAAACACGGTTGAGCATCACACCAATATATCACAAGAACACAAGAAATTAAAGGTGGAGTAGGGCATTCATCGCAGCAAGCCTGCCCTGTGAATCTATTAGTCACGGGTGATCTGTCCAAGGCCTCAACTCTGCTTTTGTCATATATGTAGTTAGGTGTGTTGTCCCTTTAAAACAGCAAGTTACAACACGCGACCCAGAGGTGGGAACTAGGGAAGGTGGTCTAAAACTGACTGTGGAGCTAAAAGGACACACACTAAAGTATTCCCTCTTCAGGCTTACCATCCTCAGGTAAGTCAGGTAAGGTCCTTTTAACTTTCCTCAAACTCAGAGCAGTTGAATTAGCAGTTAGGACAATGGCATGCTCCTCCTGAAGGATGTGGGAGATCAAAGAAACCTCCAACGTCTGTGATGACTACCCCTGTGGGAAGTGCACCCAGCTGCAGCTCCTGGGAGACCGTGTTAGGGAGCTGGACGCACTCAGGATCATCTGAGATGCTGAGCGAATCATAGGTAAGAGTTTTAGTGAGGTGGTCAAACCTAAGATATAGGCAGAGTGTGGCTGCATGACCACCGGCAAAGGCAAAGGGAGTAGGCAGAGTGTGCAGGAATCCCACGTGGCCATTCCCCTCGAAGACAAGTATATTGCTTTAGATACTGTCGGGGGGGCGTTTGACCGATCAGGGGAAAGCACCAGTCACCAGGTTTGTGGCACGACAGCTGGCTCAGGGGTACAGTGGAGAAGGATGGTTTGTTGCTTCCCAGGTGACAGGGTCCAGGATGTCTCAGAGGAGCTGCAGAACACTCTCAAGGGGGAGGGTGATCAGCCAGAAGTCATTATGCACATTGGCACAAATGACATAGGTAGAAACAAGGATAAGGTCCTGAGGAGTGATTATAGAGAGCTGGGAAAAAAAAAGAGTTAAAAACCAGGACCTCGAAGGTGGTAATCGCCGGATTACTTCCGGTGCCACGTGCTGATGAGGGTAAGAACAAGAGGATATGGCAGATGACTGTGTCGCCAAAGGATTGGGGCAGGGGGCAAGAATTCAGGATCCTGGGTCATTGGGATCTTTTCTGGGCAGAGGGGGCCTGTCCCAGAGGGTCAAGTAGCACCTGAAATGGAGGGGGATGAATATCCTGGCAGACAGATTTGCGACAGCTGCAAGGGAGGATTTCAACTAGACTGTGGCAGTTGTGGGGGGGGGGGGTTGGGGGGGGGGGGGGGCGGGGCGGCGGAGCGCTGTGGTGGAGAGAGCACAGTTTGATGTGCCATGGTGCAGGTGCTTTAGGCAGGACAGAGGTGGAGGAAAGAGGGGAGTTTCATAGCAGTAGTCAGATGAAATAACTGAGGGAACATCTAGTGAGGCTTTGTAGGTGGAGTTGAGAAATATAAAGGGGATGGTGACGTTATTGGGGTTGTATTATAGACCCCCAAATCGTCAAAAGGAATTAGAGGAACAAATATGTAGGGAGATTGCAGAGACTTGCAGGGGCAATGGGGATGTCATAGTGGGGGATTTTAATTTTCCTAACATAGACTGGGACTGCCATAGTGTTAAAGGCTTAGATGGAGTGGAATTTGTTAAATCCGTTCAGCAAAGTTTCCTTAAGCAGTATATAGAGGGTCCTGCTCAGGAAAGTGCAAATCTGGACCTACTCTTGGAAAATGTGTCAGGACAGGTGACTGAGGTGACAGTGGGGAGTACTTTGGGACCAGAGACCATAGTTCTATAAATTTTAAAACAGTTGTGGAAAAAGACAAAACTGGTCCACAGGTTCAAGTTGTAAATTGGGGCAAGGTGAATTTTGATGGAATTAGACAGAAGCTTGCAGGGGTGGATTGGAGTAGTCTGTTTGCAGACAAAGGGACATCAGGCAAGTGGGAGGCCATTGAAAGTATGATAGCAGAGTCCAAGGCCTAAATGTTCCTGTGAAGGTGAAGGGCAAGGCTGGTAGGAGTAGGGAACCCTGAATGACAAGAGATATTGAGGCTTTGACCAAGAAAAAAAAAGGAGGTACGGCTCAGGAGCAGGCAGCTGGGATCAAGGGAATCCCTGGAGATATACAAGGGATATAGGAGTTTTCTGAAGAAGGAAATCAGGAGGGCGAAAAGGGGGCACAAGATAGCTTTAGCTGAGAAGATTATGGTGAATCCAAACAGATTTGTTCAGTATATTAAAGGAAAAAGAAGTACTAGAGAGCGAATAGGACCCCTCAAGGACCAAAGTGGACATATGTGTGAGCAACTGCAGGGGATGGGCAAGGTCCTCAATGAATACTTCTCCCTCTGTGTTTATCATGGAGAAAGACAAGACAACTTGGGAAGTTAGTGGCAACATTTTGGGGACAGTCCATATCACACTACAGGTGGTGTTGGAAGTATTAGAATGTATGAAGGTGGATAAATCTCCTCATCCTGATCAGGTACATACAAAAACACTGCAAGAGGTTAGAGAAGAGAATGCAGGGCCCCTGGCTGGTATACTTGCATCATCGTTAGCCATGGGTGAAGTCCCGGAATGCTAGTGAACGTTGTGCCCTTATTCAAGTAGGGCTGCAAAGTAAAACCTGAGAATTATAGACCAGTAAGCTTAACATCTGTGGTAGGTAAGTTACTTGAAAAGATTCGGAGGGATAAAATATGCATGCATTTGGAAAGACAGGGTTTGATTAGGAGTAGTCAGCATGGCTTTGTGCGTGGGAGATCATGGTCTCTCAAATTTGTTAGAGTTCTTTGATGAAGTGACCAGGAAGGTTGATGAGGGCAGGGCAGTAGACATAGTTCAGCAAGGCCTTTGATAAGGTTCCGTATGGTAGGCTGCTCTGGAAGTTTAGATCACATGGAATCCAGGGAGAGCTGGCAAATTGGATACACATCTGGCTTGATGGTAGGAAGCAGAGGGTAATACTGGAAGGATGCTTGTCGGACTGGAGGCCTGTGACTGGTGGTATACCTCAGGGGCCGGTGCTGGGCCCATTGCTGTCTGTTATCGATATCGATGATTTGGTTGAGAATGTACAAGGCACGATTAGTAAGTTTGCAGATGACACTAAAACAGGCGGTATCGTGGACAGTGAGGAATATTATCAGAAATTGCAGCTGGGATCTTGATCAGCTGGGGAAGTGGACCGAGAAATAGCAAATGGAGTTTAAGGTAGATGAATGTGAGGTGTTGCATTTTGGTAAGTCAAATCAAGATAGGTGTTTCATTGTGAACGGTAGGGCCTTATGGAGCGTAGTGGAAGAGAGGGACCTTTGAGTTCAGGTGCACGGTTCTCGGAAAGTGGAGTCACAGGTAGACAGGGCAGTGAAAAAGGCTTTTGGCACACTGGCCTTCATCAGTCAGGTATGGAGTATAGAAGTTGGGAAGTTATGATGCAGCTGTACATGACATTGGTGAGGGCGCATTTGGCGTATTGTGTTCAGTTTTGGTCACCTTGCTATAGGAAGGATGTTATTAAACTGGAAAGAGTGCAGAAGAAATTTATAAGGATGTTGCCAGGACTCAAGGGACTGAGTTATAGGGAGAGGTTGGATAAGCTGGGACTTTTTTCTTTAGTGCATTGGAGACTGCGGGGGGTCCTTATAGAAGTGTGTAAGATCATGACAGGTATGGACAGGGTGAATGCACTCCATCTTTTTCCCAGGGTTGGGGAATTGAGGACTAGAGGGCTTCAGTTAAAGTTAAGAGTGGAAAGAATACTTGGGAACCTGACAGGCAACTTTTTTTTAAACACAGAAGTGGGTACCCATATGGAATGAGCTGCCAGCGTAAGTGGTTGAGATGGGTACATTAACAATAGTTAAAAGACATTTAGACAAATACATGGATCGGAAAGGTTTAGAAGGATATGGGCCAAGTGCAGGGAAATAGGCTTAGCATGAATGGTCATTTTGATCAGCACGGACCAATTTGGGCCATAGGGCCTGTCTCCATGCTGTATGACTCTCTATGACTCTATGATCCGTCTATCTTGTAATCCATTTATGGTTCTAATGAACCACAAACTGGCAACAAGGATGGCATCTGGCCCAAAAAACCATGCGAAGGCCATTTTTCTTTTGTTGGGAGAAAGGATGTCACTTCAACTTTGAAAATGGTGTGGGATTGTGTTGGTAACCTTGAGGAAAGCGGTCGTGAGGGAATCTGGGTCACAGCCAATGGCTGAGGAGAGCAGTACTCACCTGGGAACTTAACAAAATTGTCACGGGGAGTGGTCATGAGGGGACTTGGGCTGTGGCTGACACCAGGGAACAATGGTACACTAACAGTCAGCGAGGGAGCTACCGAGTAGAGCGTTCACCAAGGGAACTAGGGCCGCAAACAGTTACTTGACTCAACTAGTGGAAAAAATTTCTGGATTGCAGGAAAGCAAAGTGGCAGCACAATTTGGAGTGATGGGACTGTTTTATGAAGAGACAGACTGTCGGATGCTTTAAACCAAATGTTTTAATGCGTACTTAAAGGCGAACAAAGTGGCTGAAGACATAATAATACCAGTCTTCTTGAACACCATCGGGAGCAAGACATTCACGATTCGAAGGAGTCTGATGCAACCAGAGAAACCCGCAGAGAAGGCATACCAAGAACTGTGTTGGGGAGTTACTTTACACCAAAGCCCCTGATAATTACAGAACGTTTCCA